GTCATTAGCTTCCAATTGTCCAATTCTGACTTTTGGGGGGTTGTTTTCCTCAGTTAGCTTTTATACTTCTTCTTCCATTTGGCCAATTGTACTTTTCAGGGAGTTGTTTTCTTCAGTGGATTTTTGTGTCTCTTTTTCCATTTGGCCAGTTCTACTTTTTAAGCAGTTGTTTTATTTTTCCAAGCTGTTGACTCTTTTTTCATAATTCTCTCACATTACTCTCATTTCTTTTCCTAATTTTTCTTCTATCTCTCTTATATAATTTTTAAGCTCCCCTTTGAGCTCTTCTATGAGTTCTTTCTGGGCCTAATACCATTTCCTGTTTTTCTTTGGGGTTTTATCCATAGGTGTTTTGACATTGTTGTCCTTTTCTGAATTTGTGTCCTGATCTTCCCTGTCACTACCATAACTTTCTATGGTCTGATTCTTCTTTTGTTGTTTTTTGATCATCTTTTTTGGCCTTCTTTTAAATTTAAGCTCTACTCCCATGGTGGAAGGAGCACTGTCTCAAGTTTCTTGTGCCAGTAGCTGCAGGCCCTGGCTGTTTACCAGGTGTTGTACTAATGTTTCCCTAAGGCCCATGGGGGATCCTCATGTCTGTTGCTGCACTGAGGGGGTGGCATGGGGGACTGTGGTGCTAAAGGCTGTAGGGGTCTGGTAGCTTCTCTGGTGCTAACCCAGGGGTCCTAGTGGTGGTGTCTGGTGTGTGCTGAGGCTGGTGGGCTCTTTCAGCCTTTCACCAGGGCTACACTGAAGCACATGGAGGTCTGGTTGCTGAAGGTTGCCTGTTTGCCTGGCCCTATGCTGAAGTACACGACTGTGGCTCAGGATCTCCTACTGGTTTGCTGAGGTGCAGCTTGCTGCTGGCTTGCTGGGATGCTTCCTGTCCTGAATTGCATTACCCTTTTGACTGAGACAGACCTTTCTTGCCAATCTTCCGTGTTTCTTGGGCTAAAAGATTGTTTCACCCTGTCTTTTTACTGGTTCTGCTGTTCCAGGATTTGTTTTAGAGTGCTATTTTACAGTTGCTTAGAGGTGAATGTGGGAGAGTTATTGCAATTTACTACTTACTCCACCATCTTGGTTCCTAGAAGTCCATCACAATTCTTTTAAAGTTAGTGATTTTCAAAAAGATTCAATTCCAAGAAATTAAACTATTGCCTATCAGAGAGAATCAATGTACCTTGGAAAAAAGCAGAGACTCTGATTTAATCATAATAAAGGTAGAGGGAAGCAGGACTATATTTTAATTTTATTAATTTCCTGTTTCAGATTAGATTTAATAGAAATTGATGAGCATATCTCCTCTCTCTGTTTCTTAGAAGTGCTACATAAGTAAATACTTTTCCTCAGAATGATACAAAGTCAAGATAAGCTGCCATCCTTTATGTGCCCTTTGTTCACAGGTTAGGGCTTGGTTCCTTTTGGGCCTTCCTGCTACTTAAGCCAAAGGGTTGGGATTTAGTTTTATATAACTCCATATGTTTTGCAGAGTTTATTTGTGCTATTTAGAAATAATACATAACTCAATAAGTGTTAAAGCAGAACCTTCTTGGAGTATGAACAGTATTTATTTTGTAAAGGCTGAATCATTTCTCTTCAAGGAGGTAAGACAGCTATTCTTGAGACTTGGTTGGTCTGGTGGACTAAGAATATAAAAAGTTCTGGCTAAATGAAGTCAATGATCTGGAGGTTTATTAGAATTTCTACTGCCCTGGGGATATCTTTACATTCTAAATTTGAACTTGAATCACTCTAGTGGCCTGAGCTAGGTTCAACCCAAAATATTTGGCATCAGGTGGAAGTAGACGGCAATGACTTACTGGTTCATTTTGTTGTTGAAGTTGGGGAAGGTGTAATACTGTCATGGATATTTGTAGGATCATTCTCAATGGTATAAGGAGATATCCACTGACCATGTAGGATTAACCTGATGGATATTTTATACCCCTTGTGGAACTACTTCCTGTACCGATGAGTCAGAGGAGGGAGCAGGCTTTCACTGCCAAGGAAATAGGGAGCCAAAGAGTCTTTAGAATCGTTAAAAAGGTGGGATCTAACAGAAATAATATGGAGATTCTTCTAGCTCCAGAGTTTCCTTGGCTTAAGGTGTTTATGGATAATTTGCTCTTTCAAAGTCAGCTGAATCAGTTACTGGGACTGTTAATTAAATTGTATTGACACTTCCGGGATTAAGGCCATAATAGTCCTTCCTCTTTCAAACTTGAGTTATTCCTGAGATATTTCCCTACCCAAACTGATTGCTCCAAGCCAGCCAAATCTTTGTACCCAGATTTGAATAACTCTTGGGAAGATTACCATTGGGAAAGGGCTGATGTTCTCCTGAGGCTCCAGCTGTGATACTGGAGGATAATGAGTACATGCAACATGGTGGCTTAGAAAGTGAAAGGGTTGAGATACACACACACACACACACACACGTGCGCGATTGTGCACGTGTGTGTGTGTGTGTGTGTGTGTGTGTGTGTGTGTGTGGAACTGGCAGACAAGTTGCTGTTATATCAGAATATTATCAGTGGATCCATAGAGTATTCTAGTTTCCATTGATATTTAAGGAGAAGACCCCTGAGGGAAGCAGCATCTCTGATCAGAGAAAAGTGGGTAGAAACTTGCTCTCCCTGATCCCCTGTTTGGGTCAATTATGGTCACCATGGTTATGGATAGTAAGAGTTGTTGGAAGCCAGTACCTGTAATAGTGTTTGTGGAATATGAATGCTTATTATTATGGGTAAAGCCAGAAGAAGCCCTTGGAGATAACCATTTTGAGTAGTTAATATTAAAACAAAAAAAAATATTGGATTCCAGGAATGGTTAAAGATCTTTCTTCCCTAGTAATGGAAAGCTTAAGATCATAGATTTCAAATGGGAAGAAACTATAGAGACCATTGAATCCAACTGCCACCTTTTACAGATCAAGAAACTGAAGTGCAGAGGGATTAAGTGAATTGTTTTGATTCACAAAGCTAGTAAGAGCCTAAGTCTTTCTGACTACCAGTCCAGCTCTCTATCCACTATCCCACACAACCTCTCAATGAAGAAGGCTGAAGTACTAAAAAAATACCCTTATAAAAACTTTGTGTAACTGGTAAAGAAGGTAGATGGTACTGGGTAGTTTACAGTAGATTAGGAACTTAATAAAGCTGTTAATAATGATTGCTTCAGGGATTCTTCACCTTGTTAATGTGGTATACCAGGTATCCCAGACCCTAATATAGTGGCATGGAGTTATTCATTTCATGAGTGGCTTTTTTTTTCTTCTGTATCCTCATAGCTGAGACTAGATAGAAGGAGTTAGCTTTTACCTAGTAAGGATATCTGTATATTCTTAGTATCCCTACTCAAGATTACTTGATTTTTTTTTTTCATTTTTCCACAGTTTGGTGAATAAAACCTAAAAGAGGTCCTACTTCCTGAAATCACCAATGTCCACCATTAAATTGATGATATAATATTGACTGGTATAGACAGGGCCATGGTGGCAGAGGCTAGAGATGGGATCACAGCATGGAATCATAATGATCATAATGATCAGGTTTCAACATTCTTAGTTAAATTTTTGCAATACTTTAGATGGGAAGAATCTAGTTGGGGTGGGGAACCTGTGACCTCAAGGCCACATGTGGCCCCATATGTTCCCCATCTCTGATAGATGATTCTAGATTTTGTCCATAATAGCCTACTGACATTTGCTTTTCCATAATCTAAATGGGAAGCTCAGAGGCTTATTGAATTCTTTGGGATTTGGAGAATCCACATTCTCAATTTTGCTGACCCTATTTATTGAGTCACTCACAAGTCTGCCTTTTTTAAGTTACACCTGGAAAGAATTATAGCCCTGAGAAACCTAAAGCAGTTGGTCAAGCAATCTCTCTCACTGGGTCCTTGTGATCTGATGGGGCCTATGTTTCTGGATGTTTCTGTCATAAAGATCAGGTGAGGTGGAACATTTGGCACTTACCAAGTACTAGGCTATTAGAATTATAAGGTCTCTGAGGTAGTCACTTATATCAGTTTTGAAAAGCAGTTACTGACCTGTTACTAGACCCTAATTACAACTGAATGGATAACACAAGATAATATCATGACCCTGTGTCCTGATTTCTTCATAATAAGCTGAGTGATGCAAGATATTCCCTCTTACAAGATGGACAAGGCAATTTCCATTGTTAAGAGGAAAGTGAGTATTCAAAATCACATTTGCCTGAGTCCCTTGAGTGTTAGTACCTTTCCTTGGAAAGAGGTGGCTGAGAACTCAAATCATAGCTCTACTGTTTTGCCTTCTACCCTAGCTCAAGGATAAGACAACGTATTGAGGAATGTCATTTTGCCTGCTTCACAGATGGTTCCACCTGCTTTTAGGGAGGTATATAGAACTGGACTTGGTGAGTTCAGTAATCATTCCTAAGATATCAGGGTCCTGAAAAATCCTTCAAGGGGGCCAGCCTGCAAACTGTATCTGATATCAGCCCTCCTGCTGAGATTATGCTTTTTAAAGGACTTATGGTTTTGTAATTAATTTTTTTCATTACTTGTATTGACTTTCACCTCTAATGTTGCCTATGTTAGGTTTGTTTCTGAGATGAGAGTTACTTTAAAGCATTTTAAGTGGTGGAAGTATTCTTGGAGGATTTTTGGGACCTTGCCACTAAGAGGTGGGATGTGGTAAGAACATATTTTTTCCCTTTTCTTTTATATTGGCTGGGGGTGGTTTCCTTTAAGAATGTAAGAAAGACATCCTCTGGACTTGGTTGGTCTGGAGGACTGGGGATATAAAAAGTTCTGTAGCAGAATTTCCCTTACCCTATGTGGGGATACCTTTATGACCTGGCAATGTCATTTCTGTGGTGAATGTGGAATAATAGCATTTTATCAACTAGGAATTCTTTTTCACCTTATTCTAGGTAAAGTTGTTATTTTTTTTTTATTTTCAGTCTGCCAATGTTGCATTTTCCAGTTTCAAATTTTTATCCCTGGATTGGCTTCAGCAAGGTGGGCTGAGAATACTCCTTGCATGTGGTATTATTCATACATGGTAGCCATTAATGCGTTCTCATGTCAGGTCAGTGGAGTAACAGGTTGCAGAGTTTTGAGTGGGTTCATTCAATGCATAATCTGAGCAAAAGGAAGGGTGGGAAAGTCTTGTTATCAGAATATAAAGTGTTCCCTGCCTTTATCATATAATCATAGATTAAATATCTAGCACAGGACTAGGAAAGAGAGCAGAAGGGACAGAGCAGGACCAGGTATGTCTATGAAAAACATCTACAGATGCTATCAGCAACTTCTGTAGGCTGTGTAAAGCTATGAGGGTGTGCAGAACAGTGGGGTGGAGGTGGATTAGTCAGGCTCGGTTACAAGCACTGAGATCTTTTCCTTTGAATCTAACCGTTTTCCTTTCCCACACTACACAGACATGCTAGCTACGCCATCCAGGGTGGGTACTTGCTTGGAATAGCACTGCTAGAAAACTGGATGAGGCCTAGGTAGATTTAAATAATATGCACCCCAGGGGCAACTGATCTCTGAAGACAATATAACATCCACCCTGAATGGGAAGTAAAAAATCCTAAATGCCTTACTTCCTTTTCTTTTCAGTCCTACTTACCGCACAAATGTACCCAAAACCAGGTACCCAAGGAAAATCCTGGGTGCAAGTGGTGTCACAGGGGAAGGAAAACTGTAATTGAAAGAAAAACTAGTCACTGAAAGAGAACTAGTCCCTGAAAGAACCTACCACAGTGTCTCTTGTCTGGCACAGGGAAAAGGGCCTTGGGAATGGTGACTCAGCGGAGGGAGTTCTGAGCTTTTGTATAGATCCCAGATTCAGGAGAATATTATGAAAATTCCGTTTTGGCAACAATCCAGGACGGGGGGAGGAAAAGTGGAGAGAGGACAAGGTGAGAGGAAGTAAAGACAGGGAGAGACAAAGACGAACTGACATGAGGACAAGTAGTTAAACCATTTAGAGGTCTCTAAATCAAGATTCTTTGCAAGTAGGTATGTGTGCAAATGTATTTCCCAAATGAGTTCCTTTTTCTCAACTCCTTTCTCTTCTTTTCATTTTCTCTCCCCTTTCACCACCTACCCTTTTCCTACATTGGAGCTGTTGTCGGGGTACCGGGCAGAGAGGAAGGGAGAAAAGGAACAAGATTGCAATCTTCCCCCAGCGAAACCAGCCTTTTGCTGGCATGATCGAGGATCGCGGAGAGAGTCACAGTCCGGGGAGGAAAAAAAAAGTGTGGGCGCAGGGAGGAGTGGAAAGCTTGACCCCCAAACCAGCTGGAGCCACGGCAAGCTTTAATAGCGTGCTTGCCTCTTTTCCCACCTGCTGCAGTCCCTCCCTGCCCGAGCTCTAAGGCTTCCAAGTCACTTCCTTCCCCGACAGCCTCCGGACTTCGCTCCAGCTCCACTCTTTCAGTCCAACTCCAGGGGCCTGGGCAGGAAGAGCTCCAGGCACCGCCAGGGCACCTCTGTCACTGCCACCACAGAAGCAGCAGGTTCTCGGGTAGTGGCAGAGGCAGCAGTGACCGAGAGCATCTTCCCCCTCCCGTTTCCTCCACTCCCTTCCCTTCCCTCCCTCTCTCTAACCACCCCCCACCCCCTCATCCTCCTAGGGCCGGCTCCTGCAGCTCTTTGCTGCTATTGGTGGGCATAAGCTTGGTGGGGCGGGGCCAACCCAGGCCGGTATCACATGGAAAGCCTCAAAAGAGCTGAGTATATTGCAGAGCCCATAAGAACCCCGGGCCAGTGTAGCAGCAGCCGTCACCTCCGCTAGCAGACTGTGCCTTTGAGAATTTGGGATTGCATTTTGCTCACTCGCTTTTAAAAAAAAACCACTGGATCTTACATGCCTCTCCTTTCCCCACTTCCACTCTATGTCCCCATGCTCCTGAGCCAGCAACAGGTAAGGGCTGCTGTCTATTTTCTTCCTCTCTTCCCTCTTGCAGTATGTCTGTCCTGGGGGAGCAGATCTGAGCAGTCCCCCTATTCTTCTTTTCTCAGCCCCTCTGCTAACAGAGGTCCGCAACTGTCATTCCAGCGTGGTGCTCCCCCACGCGCCGGAATCCCATATCATGCCTGTAATGCCTGTAGTTTGTGTGTGCCCAGGAACATCCCCAGAGCTAAAAATACAGACATGCTTGGAACAGTTGAGTAATAAAAACAGATTTCTCTGCAGCATCTGTTTGTGCTCATAACTTCCACTGCACCAGCTGTAGAGAGATACCGAGTTGGGAGCAGGGGGTGAGTGTGTGTGTGTGTGTGTGTGTGTGTCCTCTCTAAAGAAGAGGGGGACCAGGGAATTGATCCCAAACCTAAATAGTTCTATCGTTCAATCTCTGGCGTGTCATTTATTTATTTATTTTCCTAGTAGTTTCTAGCGTAGTTTAGAGAAGGCTCTCAGTAGAGTGAGCTTTCCAAAGTTGCTTTGGTGGATGGGTAGGTAAGTGGGAGCCTAGCTTTCGTTGAACTTCAACCTGAAAAAAGCCCATTAAACTTTCCTCTATCACAAATTGCCTTTCAGTCTCCTATGCAATGTAAACTATTCTTATTAATATCGATAATGCATCGTTTGGCAGCAGTGTAGAATCAGGGAAGGACATTGTGGTGGAATGACTGTTCTGAGGAAAGATTGCATCATAACACTGGTTTATCATGACAATTTAAAAAAAAAAGGAGAAATAGGAAATAGCAGGCTTTTTATGGTTGCCCATTTCAGTAGTGTGTTAACCAGTTTATCTCTGGCTGAAAATTTACACGGATTTCCAGAAAACTCAATTTACCTGTTGTGTAAATGATGAGGCTAGCCGAGTGTTATCTGAAAACCTTTTTTGCTTATGCAAAGGATGCGTGTCTCTTGCATCCTTTATTATTATTTTTTCTTCCACATCTCTAATCAACAGGCTGTCAGGCTTCCTCTAGCTAACTATTGTGTTATGCATTCTGTATCTTACCTTTGTACTTGTTTGCTTTTCCATCCTAACTGCCAACATTTCAACATCACCCCCTCCACATTCCCATGAGTATTTAATTTATTTTACCATCATCTAGAAAAATTGATGCTTCAAAGAAGCAAGGTGTTATTCCAGAGCTAGGCGGATTTATGTTGGGGGGGGGAGGGTGGTGAAAGGAGGTGATGCATTTTCCCTAGCTTCATTTTATTTTTTTTATACTACATTGGCTTTTCTTCCTTCCTTCCTTCCTTTTTTTTTTGTCCAAGTTGGTGTCCATCAAGAGTCTATTCTGAACATTCCTTAAGATGTATTTTTATTTTGAAAAAGTTTTAAGCTTGTCTAGAAGCACAGGTCATATATAAAGCTGATGAGCAACTTTTAAACAATAAGACTGGCTGAAGTTCATCATACCTTTACCTGGGCTGATTATTTAATGTTTTAAATATTTTAACAAAGTGGATATTTTAATCTTAACTGGGTATATCGGTTTCATTCCATGGGCTTGTGTTGGCTACATATACATCTCAGTATGTCAGAATTGTTCAGATAATTTTCAAATTGAGAAATGCCTACCCAGGATTTCCTCCTCTTCCCCTTCCTCCTCCTCCTCCTCCTCCTCCTCTTCTCCTGTTTACAGAGCTCTGAAGAGGTTGCCTTGCTAGCACTTGTGCTCACATAGCAACATGTGCCCTGAGCATACTCAGGGCTGGTCTATATGGCGTCAGCTGGGGAATATCTGCTCTAAACGCTCATTAGCAGCTCTCCTTCACAGCCCAGTAGACTTATCTTTCCCTCCTTTGAATGAGAAATTCTTGCATACTGTATTTCTGACTTTTTCACTGAGAATCATTACCATGTGAGGAAAATCAGTGGGTCCTCTGAAATGTCTTTTTTTATTCTGATAAAATGATACACTACCATCTCCAGTTTTTATAATGGGGGGATTATTCTGAAATTCTTTTATTTGCCTCTTCTTCTCTGTTTCACCCTCCACAGACTTCATATGTCTCATCTCCATATCTACCTAAAATTAAAATGTAGAGAATTTTTTTCCTGTCCCTTACACTTAATTTTGTCTCAAGCCTATAAATAGACTTGACGTGAACAATGCCACATGTAGTCTCTCAGTTTCCCAGTGCAGCTTTCTGCTTTGGTTATTATGGACTGGGATAAAATGATGGGCTGATGCTAGAATCCCAGAAACCTCTTTGACAGGAAAAAGATTTTATGGTTTGAGTGTTCATTAGAGTAATGATGCCATTGAGTTCTAGAGGTCAAGGAGATCAATGGGCTTTCTGTGTGCTCACCTCATCTCACCTCACATCCCTTCTCTTTTTTTCCCCCAGAAGTTCATTTAAATTTGTGCCTGATTATTCATGGTTATTAAGCTTTATCTCATGAAGTTTTTCATCAGCTGCATGTTCCCTGTTAGATCTTGTTTTGGGTGTTCTGGTCACTCCATAATACCCAGGCACACTGGCAGGCACGTCAGTCTCTACAGTGAAATATGAAGACAGTTATCATATCAAACTCTGACATATGTCCTAGAGTATCATTATATAATCAATTCCAAGAAGCCATCTATATCTACATACATGACTGAAGCTTAGGAACATCTTCTTTAGGTGTTGAAGGATATAATTTCCCAGACTAAGTGTTTTTATTTTGTTTTGTTTTTTGCTTCCACGTCTGAAACATATGAAGTTGTAACATTTTTAATGGGTGCTTTGCATATGGAACAAATTCTACCAGTGGAAATAGAACAATAATAGTCACTCAGTGCAAGCTCTTTTCAAGGGTCTAAATACAGAAAGCTATTCATAGGAAGCGGGTATTGTGTGCTTTGAGGAATTCAAACAAATGTCCCAGGGTTAAGCTTTCTGGAGAGTCCCATGTCAGTCAGTGTATTTCCTATGGTTGGTTGGGGAAGGGCAGGAGAGGGTGTATGGGGAAGGGTTAACCTGGAAATAGTACAGGAGCAAGGAAATAAACTAAGGAGGCTATCTGGTCATGTTACATATTTCTCTTTCTGAAGTTCCGTATGTCTCTCTTGATGCACTTTTGAGCCAGCCACGTAACTTGGAAATTACTGTGGAAAAACATTCCCTTGCTGTAAAGGATTCTATACCCTCAGGAATGGGGGAATGTATTCTTTTGTCCAAAGAGAAAACTTCACCCAGAAGTAGACAAAATATTGAAGCAGGTGGAAGGCTAGTAGTACAAATGCAAATCCTTTTCATAAAGTAACTTGAAGCCCCACTCAAATTGGGCATCATTTAGGTGTCAAAAGCTGCCAAAAAATGTAACACGCATCGGAATTTTCACAGATGACTAATCTCAGGAAATATGTGTTAGGGCACATTCTTGCATAATAATTTGGGAGAAGGAACAGGGGAGACAGAAAAGTATAATAAAGCATGTATGTGTGTATTTAGGGGAAAGAGAACCTTGTCTTTGTTTTTAAAATGAATGCAAAAAATAGTAACAAAAATAAGGACTTACTTGTGTGAAGTGTGATCTAAGCAGTTAAAGTAGTATCTTAGATATTAGCAGGTAGCATTGTGTGTAGTTTGGGGAATTTTTTAAAAAAGTCTGGGTCCTCTCATCAGAAGATCGATGCATTTGTGTTCAGGACAATGGACTTTTATTTTAGCATTTTAAGGTTTGCAAAATGCCTTAATGTACTCTATCCCATGCACCAGACTACTTAAAGTATAAAAGACTAATTTGACTCTAAAATCAAACAAAATAAATACCCCAGCCAATCTATTTCTGACACCAAATCAAGTTAATAGGCTTGGTCCAGTGATTCTGAAAAGGAAAATATCTTGGACTATGAGGTTTCAGGTAATTTATCAAAGGGAAATAGGTGACATGTAGTTGAGATGAAACATGGAAGTAAGTTGCTTTTATCTAGGGGAGAATAACATAAAAGGTAGAAGCTGTTTGATTATAATATTAAATAAAGCTGAGTGGCTTCTCCATAGGAACAAATAGCGAACAACAGCACTTTAGGAGAAAGAATCATTAATGATCTACCACGGCTAACTTTTTTTCTGGTGGGAGAACACCAAGTTGGAGCAACACGAAATGAGTTCAGCTATCAGTTCATGCTCCAGCACCACAGTGTTGAACTCCAAGCTTTTTGTTGCAAATGTCAGCTCCATCTCAGGAGAAACTCAAAACTCCTATTGCTAGGCAACAGAATCACTCCTTATCCCCTAGAGCAAATTGCCTTTCAGTCAGAATCAGTTGTACCATAGAACTCTTATCTGGCCTTTCTGTATGTTGGTTGTTTATTGAGTGATCTAGCAAGCCTAAACTGCTATTGAAAAAAATGACATCTAGTGAGATGAAGTGGATAGAAGGCTAGCTTCCAAGTCAGGCATATCTGTCTATCTTTGATACATATTGGCTTTGTGACCTTGGGCAAGTCATTTAACCTCTTAATACCTCTAGGCAGCACTTTAAGAATCTAAGTTACAGAAAAGGTGCTTACCTGCATTGTTAGGGGGAGTTTCCTCTCAGAGGAGGAGCCCTTTAGGCAAATTAAATCACAGGTCTAGCCCCTATCACTATCATCAGTTTTGTTTGCCCATTTATACAAAATGAACTCTTGTTTTTAAGTTCAGCTAGATGGTAACTGATCTTTTTTTTTTTTATTCCCATATTAGATCCACAATTCCATTGTTACTCTAGGCACTGAAGTCTAAAGTGGAGAGGGTCCTGGCCTTAAACTCAGGGAGACCTGGGTTCACTTCCTGCTAAGAATATTTGTTAACTGTGTCATCCTATGAAAGTCACTAACCTCTATTAACCTCAGTTTCCTCATTAAGAGGAGGATTATAATAACTACCTCATTATCAGCCTTATTATGGGAATCAAATGTGATGATGTATGTAAAGCAATTTACAATTTACAAAGTGCTATGTAAACATCAATGACTACCACTACTAATATTTTGTACACATACGATGTTACCTAAATATTTTTTAGTTGTTTCTTTTTAATGAACTTTTAGCCTCACATCAACCTTCTCAGGTTGGCAAGTGGAATAAATTAGAATACTACACCAAGGGAGGGAGCAAAAAGGGTAAAATGAGGCATAGCAATGGGAAATTGCTTACTCAAGATCATTGACTGTGCCAGGAGTCTGAAGTTGTAATTAGATGACCCTGTAACTAATCACTAGTCCATGTTTACAGTTTCATGCATCAAAATCTACTAAGGCATGAGAGAGATAATCAGAGGGACCAAATATTAGGGGACAAAAGAGGGGGGAGGACATGACAAATTTGTATTACATCCTAAGGTAACTTCATTATTTTATGTTAAAACTTTTCAGGAAATATAAAAACAACTGATCTTTGACAGGAGCTACAGTTGACAAGATTATGCATAGTTCTTTATTTTCTAATTCACAATATCTTTTTTTTTTTTTTTTTTTTTTGCAGAGCATATTCTCCAGATGCCAGATAAGTTGCTAAGGTAACATCTGCATGTCAGTAGACAATCCTTGGTAGACCCAAGGCACCTGGAGACTCCCATCTCTACCAATTTTTTTTCTGTGTGTGTTCTTCCTTAGCATTCAAAACTGTTTCTCCAAAGGGTTCTGCAGAAACTCAGACTGTTTTCTAAAGCAGAATCACTTCAGTCCACAGCAGAAGCGATGGGCAGTGTACGAACCAACCGCTATAGCATTGTCTCTTCAGAAGAAGATGGCATGAAATTGGCCACCATGGCAGTTGCAAATGGCTTTGGAAATGGGAAGAGTAAGGTCCATACTCGACAGCAGTGCCGGAGCCGCTTTGTCAAGAAAGATGGTCACTGCAATGTCCAGTTCATCAATGTGGGTGAGAAGGGACAGAGGTACCTGGCAGACATCTTTACCACATGTGTGGACATACGTTGGCGGTGGATGCTGGTCATCTTCTGTCTGGCTTTTGTTCTCTCGTGGCTGTTCTTTGGCTGTGTGTTTTGGTTGATAGCACTACTTCATGGGGACTTGGATGCACCTGATAACAACAAAGCATGTGTATCTCAGGTCAGCAGTTTTACTGCTGCCTTTCTTTTTTCCATTGAAACTCAGACAACAATAGGCTACGGCTTCAGGTGTGTCACTGATGAATGCCCCATTGCGGTTTTCATGGTAGTGTTCCAGTCCATCGTGGGTTGCATCATTGATGCATTTATCATTGGTGCAGTCATGGCTAAGATGGCAAAGCCAAAAAAGAGGAATGAGACTCTTGTCTTCAGCCACAATGCTGTGGTCGCCATGAGGGATGGAAAACTGTGCTTAATGTGGCGAGTAGGGAACCTCCGGAAAAGCCATTTGGTGGAAGCTCACGTACGAGCACAGCTCCTCAAATCCAGAATTACGTCTGAAGGAGAATACATCCCACTCGATCAAATAGACATCAATGTGGGCTTTGACAGTGGAATCGACCGTATATTTCTAGTCTCTCCAATTACAATAGTCCATGAAATAGATGAAGACAGTCCTCTATATGACTTGAATAAACAGGACATGGACAATGCAGACTTTGAAATCGTTGTAATACTAGAAGGGATGGTAGAAGCCACTGCTATGACAACGCAATGTCGTAGCTCTTATTTGGCAAATGAAATACTCTGGGGTCACCGCTATGAGCCTGTCCTCTTTGAGGAGAAACACTACTACAAAGTGGACTATTCCAGATTTCACAAAACATACGAAGTGCCCAACACACCTCTTTGCAGTGCCAGAGACTTAGCAGAAAAGAAATATATCCTCTCAAATGCTAATTCCTTTTGCTATGAGAATGAGGTTGCACTCACGAGCAAAGAGGAAGATGACAGTGAAAATGGTGTGCCTGAGAGCACTAGCACAGACACACCCCCTGACATAGACCATCACAACCAAGCTGGGGTGCCCCTAGAGCCCAGACCACTAAGGCGAGAATCAGAGATATGACTAACTGGCTTCTCTTTCAGGACGTGACTTTAAAACACAGTCTGTTGTTGGTCAAAGGCACATTAGGCTGAAACTTGGCCCAAACAGTTTGCAGATGACGGTACTGGTGAAGAGATATATCAAGGCAAGCAGCCGCAGGGGATGGAGGCTTGTTATAAGGGTTTCAAAGGGAAGATTGGAGAGTTGGAGCATTAATATAAAGCACTAACATGTCTACGCATGATCAGATGGCACATATATGTTGTAGAATAAATTATTATTTTTGAGATAAAACTTGAACTTGCAGGCAAGTGTTGGTAGGGTTTGCAACTTTTCCAGAATACTTCTCTAGGGAACAAGAATGTTTTTAATGGCATAACAAAGGCAAGACTCTGCCTTAATTTTTTGGAAAAAAAAAGCTGCTGCTAACTACATGAACAAAAATTATATTTTTGTTGTAGTGTAGTTTTTATTCTGTGTAATTTAAAAATCAGTGTTGGAACTTTGGTGAAAGCTCACGATACTCTTAAGTGGCAAATACTTGGCTAGCAGATGCCAAACCAAGAGCCGGAACTTTTGAGGCCAGTAGTTTTTTTCTCTAGAATGGATTTTTCTCTCCCTGGTTACATAAGGGGCATTATGTAACGCAAGCCAAACGGTAGCTTCCAAGGATCTCTTCTCCATGATTTTTAATGAGTTATCTCAAATTGTAAGTTAAACTACCTAAAACAATACCAAAGATAATGCATAATTTTGCACAGTTGAGCTTACTTTCAAAAGGAAAACTAAAAGTCAACAACAATAACAACAAAAAACAGGCTGCTTAGGAAAAACAAAGCAGGAACTTAACATCTTGAGCCTCAGTGGACTGGAACTGCCCCATCATTTTGCACCTTATTCAGAAGACAGAGCATGAGACATAGAGCCTAGGAAAGTGCAACATTTCCCCCCTTAATGCAACTCTGTTATTTTTAGGGGAGAAGGAAAAAGGAAGTGAAATTTCAAAAGATACACGGAGGGGAAAAACATGACACAAACCAACATCTGTTCTCTGCTTGCTAGGTAACATCAAGCAAGGCTGCTTCAGAAGGTCAAGTGGGTTGTTTTGTTTTAGGTTGGGGTTATTTTGCACATTCCGAAACTGCTTCTAAGAGGTAGTGTCCTGGCCTAGCTGAGTCTGCATTCTGAAAACTGAGCCATCCAGCAGGAAAAAGAGGCTGTGACTGAACCCCCTTGACTGTCATTCCAGTTCCAGTTACGCTCAAGCCAGGCTCAGACAAGGCACTGAGCTGCACCCTGAGGGTCACTCTCTCTTCCTAAGGGCATCTGGGAAGGGCTGTACATGTCACACAGAACTGTAAATGACAGGAAGGTAAAGCAGGGGAGGGAGTGGACGTGCCACTCTGATGCAGCAACAGGAAGAAGAGGGGAAAGGTTGTTTTATTTATTATTATTATTATTATTGTTATTATTATTATTTTTGGCCAAGGGAAGAGTGACAAAATGTAATGATTTTCTAGGGTCAAAAGAAAAAAAAAACATTTAAACAATAAGCAAAATAAGGAGTGAAGGGGATAATTCTGTCAAAGAGTTGTTTTCTCCTTCATTTTTGCATACTCAGTTGAGTGCACACTCAGTGTTGGTCATTGTCTCCCATGGAGCCCTAAAGCATATATACATATATATTTTTAAATGATATGCTGGTTTCTCTGAAGGCTATTCTTTTGCCTTACTTGCTTTAAAACCTCCTGCCATACTAGCTCCATAAAGAGACTTAGATGTTGCTTAGAAATCCCTCATCTGAGTCCTGTGGTTACTGACTCCCCCTACCCCACCAACCCCATCTTAATCTAAGTCTCCAAGTCAGCTCTTATGGTATTAGATCACTGTATGCCATTAAAAAACAGCTTGTTCTGATGTCATAGTTTTTGTAAATGGACATCTGTGATGATCTCTGATTGCTGAACATCCCTACCTGAAGGAAATGCCTGCGGCAGCCTGTGGCATCTGCCACCTCCATAGTTCTGAAACTGGGGAAATAGTTGCATTGGAAGAGCAAATTTGGATAAGAAAGAGGATGGAAGATACTGCAGAGGGAGGTATAGGGAGGAGAGGCTTTTAAAAAGGAGACGGAGATCAGTAGGGCTTAGGAATTGAGGGCACAAGGAAAGAACAGAAAAATGATGGTCCTTGACAATGAAGGCAAATGATTGCTTTAAGTGCTGCTATATATGGGAATGTCCTTGCAAAGTATGACAGCAATCAAACCAAAGAGTATTCAGTGACATGTAAAACAAATGAAGACACCTTTGAGAAGTGGATGGGCTCAGTGGAGGTTATTTTCTCCCTTTCCCACCCAAATACACAGAGCCACCACTTAGGAGATTTGAGATGAGTGAACGGGGTAGGGGTGGGAGGAGTAAGGACTGAGGGTGGCATATTTAACTATTTCTAAAAGAAAAACAAATTAAAATTTCTGCTGCACAGGTTTGGGGTTTCCTTTTTTCACAAAAAAATTTTTTTGCAGAAAATACATTTTTAAAGTGTACATTTTATACAGTTTATCAGATATTTTCATATTTAAAGCCAAATGTAAATAGATGTCTATAAAGAAAAAAATGCCATAGGAAGTATAAATTTCAGTGCAACAAATTTTGTTAGCTAGTACCTGTATGCTGCTGGTTAGCATGGTTTTAGCAAATATTCCAAAACCTTATAGGGCTCTTAATGCTATGGGCTTCTGTTATTTATTTAAGCATGGACTTTTAATTTGAAAATATTTTCTAGTTACAGGCATTTTAAACAAGCTTTCAGATGGCTAATTTGTCAACAATGGAGACTTAGACAATGCACTGCTCTCCTTGCTGTATTTGTTTTCCTTTCCTTTTTTTTTCTTTGCTTTGAACCCTTTGTACTTACTGATTGGATGTTAGATGTTTCCTTACAGAACTTGCAAATCTGACACTTGGGTGCAGGTGGGAGCCACTGTGAAAGTGACAAATATAAATCTTCGAGCCTTCCCGGTTCCTTAAGTGTGGCTTCTCTATTTGCAAGCACAACTACCGTTGGCCTTACTTAGAATTGTTCCTCCTTATACTGCTTTCACCCCTTTCAAAGATGGTATGGTTCAGAGACTTAGATGGGAATTTTTTTTCCCCTGGGTTTCTTGTTATATATTTATATTTTTGTTAATGGGGGAAGAGAAGACTCAGACATAATGACTATATTTTGCTAAGTGAGACAAGAAGTTTTCTATCCTTCAAAGAGAATACTTGAATGAGACATTTTAACAATGTCATAAAAATAACACTGCAGCCATTTCCAAATTCTGGTTATTTTTTCCTCCTTATCTCATCCTTGGTTATTATTCACTACCACCACCACCACCACCTCCACCACCTCCACCACCTCCACCTCCTCCTCCTTCTCTTCATCTGATTAGAAAGTACTAATGCTTGTTTTGCTTAATTTGATCTATTCACTTCCTGCAATTTATCAGATTAATTCCCTTAATCACCCCCCCTCCCCCTACTAAAGAAAGACAGGATCTGCTGAGTTTTCTTGGATTAAGTTCTGGTTTTCATTAGAAAGGGAAATTAGATGGTTGAAATTAGAACGTAAAAAACAGAAATTCTATATTGTAGAATCTTTCAGGCCCTCACTGGTTGTTCTCTTATTAAAGATAAAGAGTGTTACATGATGCCCACCATTCCTTTACCAACTAGATCTGTTTTCCTATAACTGGCTTTCAGCTCTGGCAAGATGAACAATCTAGGCATTTGACAATCGTTGTACATTACTATGTTCCTGTTTGCCATCTTTTTTTTTTTTTTGTATCAAAGTCTTCCTATTGTACTGCACAAATCATGGATTGTACATATTTTTATATATTATGTCTTATTTTATTATTTCTAAATAAAAATCCAAAATATTAAAAAAAAAACTTATCTTAAGGATTTTTGCACTTCCTTTAAAAACAAAACAAAACAAAACAAAACACACCACTAATGAATGGACAATAACTAGGACACAATGCAAAATCTACCACATAATGGGACATAATCCCTGAAGCCTGGAATGAATGGGTGAATTGAAATGTAAAGAAGAGGCAGGTGCAGCACAATAGCAAATTAGCCTAATCGAATGTAAAAGGAGGTCTTTACCTTCCTCATAGTCTAGTGCCAAAAAAATAAAACTAAAGAACATTGCTCAGGTGATGTGGGCAGGAGGGTGGTATTTTGCATACAAGGCTGAAAAGAGCTTGGAAGGATTTTGGAAGCCTTTACAGCAAGGTACTTTTTTTTCCCTTTCTAAGTATTCTATTTTTAGGAGAAGCATCATTTTTGTGAACAGAGAGCTAGTCTCAGAGCCAAGGAGACCTCGGATACAGTTCTTCCTCTGATACATACTGGCTTTATGACCCTGGGAAAGTTAATGCACCAGAAAAACTCCTCCAAAAGGTAAGATTTGAGCTGAGTCTTCTAAAAATCCGGGGAAGCCCAGAGGCAGAAGTGAATGGGGGATGGGGGTGGCTCAACCTATTCTCTCTCCCTAAGCATTCTATTATATTTTCCATATGGCTTTGAAGGAAAGGAAGTCTGCTTTTTCTTGATTTTCCCTTGTCTGGTCACTTGATTTTTCAGGACCATGTGTCTCAAAAACCATTTTACAGTGGGACTAGTATCCAAACATTTGTCAATCAATTAGCATTTACCTGACACTGTGCTAAATTCTGGGGAAACAAAGAAAGGCATAAAAAAAAGCCAACAACAAAACAGAACAAAAAACAGTCCCTGCTCTCAAGAAGATTCCTCTCTAATGGTGGGGGCGGGGCATGGAAACAACTATGTACTGTACAAGCACGACACAGACGGGATGAATGAGGGGGCAGTTTCAGAGGCAAGGAACAAGGATTACAAAAGACCAGGAAGCACAATTTTTTTCTGAGAATTGAAGGAAACCAGGAGGCCCAGAGGAGGAGAGATAGTGTTCGAGGCAAGGGAGAAAGTCAGCATAAATGCTCAGACTCCAGAGAGGGAGGGTCCTGGGGGGGGGGAGGGGGTGGAACAGCAAGGAGGCCAGTGTCACTGATTATATATGACAGAGTAAATGGAGGGGAGTAACATTTAAGAAGACTGGAAGGATAGGAAAAGGTCAGGATATGACAGATTTTGAAAGTCAAACAGAGGATTGCATATTTGATCCTGCAGGTAATGAGACAAATCTAATCCCAATTTGTGATACAATAATTTTAGGTTTAAAACTCCCAACTCATTGACAAAATCCTCACCTCCTGCTGGTTCTTTGTTGTTCTATCAAGATGTACAGCTGTCTTACAAATCACAGTCTTTGAGAGCTGATACTTAAGAGAAATACTATGATCTGCCCAGGATCACAATATGTGTCAGAGATAGAACCTGGACCTAGGTCTTCTGATTCTGGTAGGAATGTTTTTCTAATCACTTCCACAGCTTAGGGTATATTTAGAAAGTCCCCTATTTGACCCTGAACTCATTGAAATAAAAGTGCCAGTGAAGCTTTTGTACCAAGTGCCCTGTGGGGAGTGTTCTCACATAATCAAGGATCGATAATAGAATTCACTATCCACATTAACACAAAACACCAGGTCCAGCAGCTTGGCATAGGAATGACTCATAGGGATTGGGCCTGTGATTTTGTTGCTATGGTTTCCCCAAGGTGAGGAAACACCATCCAGCAGTACAGGTCAACATTCTCTCTGCAATTTGTGGCATTAGAGAATTGTCCAGATCCCCAAAAGGATAAGTGACTTGTCCAGGATCATACAGCCAGTCTGTATGAGAGATAGGACTTGAACTCTTATCTTCCTTTGACGAAGACCAGGTCTCAATCTACTTCCCCATGCTGCCTCAAATAACTAGACACAGACTTGTTAAAACATGCTGTTTACAAACAAAGCATCTGTTTTTATTTTAGGCAGGCATGTACATATCCCAAAGGCAACCCTCTGACAGCCCCTTAGCCCTTGGCAACAGAGATATCAGATGACAAACATTACCTCTGAAAGAAAAAGATCTGGGTGTTGGACAAAGTATAACATGCAGGCTAGGTGTTTTCTCCTGTTTGGTCAGGCACTCCTGAATGTCTGCATGGTCAACAAAGCCTTATTGCCTTGTCCTGCCTTCCTCTTCATCTCCCCTGTACAAACTTTTCCAAGGTTGGCTGAAAGTTTCAGCAGGCATCTCTTGGAAACATTCAGTCCTGTTGGCAGCCAAATAAGACCTCCCAGGGGTTGCCATAGAAACCAGCAGAAACGCCAATGTCTGTAAAATCTTTAATTTCATCTGAGCAACTTTATTGAAGAACAAGAACAAAAAAGAGAGGTGTCCAAAGAGGAAATTATCTAAAGATCTGTGTGTCAAATTGTAAATTGCTCTTCTAAATAAAGTATGTGAGTGCTTTTGCCTCTTACAATCTTGTGGGATAAATGTTGTAGTTCTATCTGAAAGAGACCTCCGAGGCCATGTAATCCAACTCCCTCCTTTTTCAGATGAGAAAACAGAGGACAAGTGAGGTTAAATGACTTGCCAGGGTCACATAGATAGTGTTATAGGAGGAATTTGAAGCCAGGTTTTCTGATTCCAGGGCCAGTGCCGTTTTCACCATCCCTCACTGCCTCCTAACACTTTAGCACCTCTATGATTCAAACTACAAACTTGAGACTTTCTTAAGAGACCTCTCAGTTCGGACCCTGACCTGTTACTCAATTTCACTGAGTGTTGTTGCAAAGGGAAGTACTTTGTAAAATTCCAAGCACCATATAAATGTGAGTTATTGCTGATAGTGTTTATCATTGAGTCCTGTTCAGGCTCACCTTTCTAATCTCATCTTGGCTTTAGTGGGAAGTATTTGGTTGCAAGTTAAATGACTATGTATCTAGCTACATGGGTTCATTGTGAGCTGCTGAAATTGCCATCTTTAAGCATTGGATGCTCCAAAACCTTCTGTGAGTTTACAGTGATTCTGTAAGATAATTATGGGGCAGGAAAATGCCCCAAAAAGCAATTAGAAGAGGAATCCAGCAAAGTATTTTTTGCTCTGCTATTTAAATCTCTACATAAATCAAGGGGTGGAGGGGGTAAAAGGGTGGAGAGATACAAAATACTTCAATAATGACACTTTGCACCTGGAGTGAAATGTTTCAGCTTTGCCAAAGCCTTGTTATGCTGGCCATATTTAAGATGATGAACAGTTCTTATCATTCCCTAAAGTAGCTATCAAGTTAGGTTAGTTTCTGCCAAAAGAACAATTTACTTTTTCTTAGGATTTAGTGGCAGAATACATGATGGAACAGAGGGCAGAATGACAGCATGATGTGAGAGATGGGCTGTGCAGTGAAATCAAAGTTTGATTTGGTATCAGAGAACTTGAATTTGTATGCTGGCTCTGCCACCAACTAGCTGTGTGACAGTAGGTAAGTTAATTCCCTTCTCTGGGACTCGTTTTCCATTTTCCATTGTAAAGTGGCAGAGTGGTAGATTGATCAGAGGTTCTGAACCTAGAATCTGTTAACATTTTAATACATATTTTGAAAGTTATATTTCAATGTGATTGATTTCCTTCAAAATCTCACATGCTGCAAGAATTTAAAAACATTATTCTGAAAAGATATCCATAAACTTTACCACTTACCAAACGGAATCCACAGCGCAAAAAAAGTTTAAACAATCCCAAACTAGATTATCTTGAAGGTCCCTTCTGGATCTAAATCAATGATCCTGTAATGATTCTATACTTGACTTTTAAGATTCTTCATGGTGATTTCCATGAGGTAGGTACAGGATTAATTTACATAGGGAAATACAAAAGCACAAGGTAAACCTTATGGACAGGAATTTTATTCTGAGACTCTTCCATGTGGGCTTTTACAGACGAAAATTTGTTTTTCCTTCATTGTCTCCTGTTGGGTCACTTGATTTTGAGTACCATGTGTCTCAAAAACATTTTTACATTGGATTTGACATCCTGTTTTTATATTGATTAGTAATATTCTGGTAGGAGAGAAATTTAATTCTTAAATGAATAAAGTACCTAAAGATCTTTCTGTACTTTAAGAACTGACAGCCTGGAGTTCCAGAATGTTATAGCATTGGAGGGTTCATGTTCAAGTCTATTAATAACCTGACATGTCATGACACTCAAGTATCCAGTCAAACTTGTCCTTATAGAATAGAAATACTGATCTTTGGAAATATCCAATGTAGGAAATCGATTATTTTAAGAGTATATGTTCTATAGACAGCTCTTTGTGTCTAGCAGGATATAATAAAGCAAAGGAATGTCCTCAAACTATATCTTATAAAAACTAGGCCAGAAGTACTGGATACATAGGCATATAGCGAAATCTTTCTTAAAATAAATGCCATATAAACAAAACAAGTTTATCCAAAGGGATTTCATAGACTCAGTGACTTACACATATAAAAAAAATGATGAATAAACATGCCGAAGAACTTATAGTATCCTCAAAGATTCCTTGTGGTGTGAGAAATAGAAATTATTCTGCCTTAATTAAACTGACACAATCAGTTAAAATTCTGGGTTCCTAGTGGAAAGATTTAAAAACCTTCCCACTGAGACAGATAGACAGACACAGGCACGCACACACACTACACAGACACGGACAGACAGACAGAACACACACACATACACACACACACACACACACACACACATATACACACTTTGACTAACTTAGGCAATGAGACTGAATTAGTTCTCCTAAAGCAAGGCTGACTACAAGGTTCTGACTCTTATAGAACCAGGAGTGAATTTCTGCTACTGTTGACTTAAGCTCCCATTCTAGTATGTTTTTCCCCAATGTCAGATGCCAGTGATGAACACAC